TATGCAGGGAGAGTAGTGGTTGTGTTGGTGCTGGTGGAACAGTTAACTGTACCCACCAAGCTCATGGTCTCACACAGTGGAAGAATGAAATCACGGACAAAATGAGGCTGTCAGGAGAGCATTTGTTGGAAATAATAAGCAGAAAAAGAGCTCCTGTCACCAGGAGAGTATTCCAAATGGAAGTCCAAATTGTCTTCTTTGTCCTACTCTTCTATGAAGAAGCAGCACGGGAAAAAGTCAATTACTCCACTCGGTTCAAAGAAATCCAGTTATTTTGCATTTTAAAGATTCCTCAAATAAGTCCAGTCTGGAAGCAGGCAGAGTCTGTCAACTGCCTTAGTGTACTCTGCAAAATAACTCTTTCCTGGACAGGGGGGTCCCCATATCTCCATCCTTACTTAGCCTAGTGTGCACTGCAGAACCTTTTTTCTGTGTTTTTATTTTTAAGCTTAACCAGCCTCATGACTTGAGTTAGCTTGTGTGCTCTTTTCTTTTATCTGATTCTGTCTTTTATCCTTGACTGCCTACTTATAAGCTAACTTAACTAAACTGTTACAGTAAGGTTTATTTGTTTGTTTTCTAAAGAGGCCAAGTAGCTGTTTGGTAATACTGTAAGCTTGGGGGTGGGGGTTATAGTTTTGAGGATGACAGGCTTGTAATCTTGAGACAGGTTTGCTTGTTAAAACTACATTTGTTAAAATTATTGTGGGAGGACACTTGTATTATTAAAATCATAATTTAAAGGTTATGAGTTGATTTTACCCACAAACCCAGATGACAGTTAACTCAATATGGCATTACTGACCTAATTTAATCTCTATTGAAGGACTTTACAAATTTTCCTAAATTTGGGAAATTAGCTAAAATCACATTTTCCATTGTGAAAATGCATTAGTAACAAAGGGACTCTAAGAAATTAACTCTAAAGCCACGAGTGCCTCTGTTTGTTTGTCCCTTACAGTGCGTGTGGGTGAGAAGGCCATTGTTCTGAAGGTGGAGTGGGGCATTTAAGTCTGGTGTGGACAGTGCTCAGGGCCCGGAGTAGGGGCACAGCCAGGCACAAGGTGGCAGTGACCCAGAATACGGGCCTGGTCCCTGGAAAAGAACTAGAATCCCAGAGCCATACAGGCTGCAGAAAGTGAAGGGTACCAGTTGCACGCCCAAGGTTTTGGTCTGAAGCAAGGGTGGGGAGGACCAAACTGAGCTGCTCTGTAACTTGAGTTTGGGACAAATTGAGCCAAAGAGGAGACAGCAAGCCTGCTCCCGCAGAGCTGCAGAGACAGGGTCTGCTAAGACTAGTGTGGCCCCAAGGACGCTAGTGTGGCTGTCCCGTGGCCCTCCGAGAAATTGGGGGCATCCTTCAGGAAAACCAGAGGTAACGTGGGAGGGGGGAAGTGGGCATTGCAAGTCACCCCAGGGAACAGGAATCTCTGGGCCAGAGGGAGGGGATGACAGGACCAGAGTTCCAGAAGTCAAACTCCAAAGGGAGAGCACAGAGTTGTGCCCATAGGAGGTCCCGGTAACCCTCGGTACTCGAGGCCATCTAGTAAACTCTGTCCTGCTTACTACTGTGGGAAACTCAGAGCCCGCTGTTCCCAAAGCTCCCAGAGAGGAGTCAGTGAAACAAATATGGTTGCCAAGGGAACAGTTTCTCATCATCAGGGTCACGGAGGATCTGAGAGTCCTGACTGATGAAAACCGGAAGTGGGCCTCAACCCGAGGAGCAGAATTCCATACCGACTTTGGACAGGTAGTGGGCCATAATAAACACTATATGTGCATTTTTCGCTGTGCATGCTGCCTGTGGTAAGGTTCAGTCCCGATAAGCGTAATACTAACTAATAAAAGAATTATAACAACCCACTGTCATAAAAGATATTTCAAATTTATGAATCACTTATTTATGGAATTCTCCATTTAGTAGTTTTGGGCCACTGTTGACCTCAAGTAAATGAAACTGTAGAAAGTAAAACTATACATGAGGGACTTCTATAAGCTTAGGAAGCAATTTGTTGTTTGCATTTGTTTTAAGCCTTTTTGTTTTGAAACAATCTTAGACTTACAGAAGAATTACAAGCACAGCACAAAGAATTCTTGTATACTCTTCACTCTTAACCCAGATTCATTTATTTTATCATCCCTGGCTCTATTGATCACCTACCTATCATGTGTCCATCTATTTAAAATCTCAGCAATAACATCCCATTCCCCAACCCACTCAGTGACCAGTTCATAAATTTTCATAAAGGGTATTATTCTCTCATAGAGCCACAGTACAGGGATCAAAATCAGAAAAATAGCAGAGGTACAGTACTATTATCTAATCAGCAAACCCTGTTGAAATTTTGATTTTGTACTGCTGATCTTTTTAACCAAAGGAAAGAAAAATTCCCCCAGGTCTGGGACTCAGCCCAGGGTCTTATATTACACCTAGTTGTCCTGTCCTTTTAGTCTCCTTTAGTATGAGAGAGTTCCTCAGTCACGCCTTTGTCTTTCATGGCTTTAACATTTTTGAAGCCTATAGATCATTTCTTCTAAAGCATGTCTCTCAGTTTGGGTTCAACTGATGCTTTCTCAAGATCCTACACCAGGTTATGCATTTGGGGGAGGAAAACATGAAGATGATTTGTGCACTTCTTGGTTTGTCCTATCGGTAAATGAATGGCGTCCTCTTGTCTAGCCACAGTGATGGTTATGTGGATCACTCATTTCAGATGTGTCTGCCAGCTTTCTCCACCACGAACTCACTAGCCTCCCTTGTAGTTAATACATGTCTTTGGGGGAGTTACTGCAACATTGCACATGTCCTGTTTCTCCTCACCCACTCATCTTAGTGGTGATTCTTACTAGAAACAATTTATTTATTTATTTATTTGTTTGTTTATTTATGGGGGAGGTTAAGACAGGGTCTCACTATGTAGTTGCAGCTGAACTAGAACTCACTATGTAACCCAGGCTGGTCTCAAACTCACAATAATCCTCCCGCCTCAGCCTCGTGAGTGCTGGGATTACAGTCATGTGCTGCCACACCCGGCTTGCCAGAAACAATTTTAACTCCAGCATGTGCTAGATGGTGGTTTTCTAATTCCTTAATCCCTTCAGCATTGCTGGTTGGTGCTTTCCCTTCTTCTCATGCACTCACCTGAACAAACTCATGGGCTTTTATTTGATTCTGTGGTGTAGTCTATTGTGATCACTGTTGACTTTAATGCTCAAACAGTCCCAGTGTTGGCCAGTAGGGAGCCTTTCAATCTGGCTGCTGTGTCCTGGGCATGTCCCTGTCCACTTTGAGCAGCTCCTTACTTTCTAATGCAGGAATGTGTCCAGTCCCAGAATCAGCTATTTCCCCAAGAAGCCCTAATTCCTCTTACTGGAACGTATTTAGAAACCAGGACCCAGAGGACAGATGCTAAGTATACTCACACTGTGTGTGTGTGCGCACACGCATGTGTATGTGTGTGTTTTTATTTAAAACATAAGAATATAGTTAGGTTCACTTGTTTTCTTTATAATCCATTTTGGGTTTCTCTATCTCTGATTTTATGTATTTTCATCTCGGACTTATGAAATATTATTTTAAATGTCAAACCTATAGAAACATGTCTGTGTAGATCAACGCCACTCCTTGCCTCCCTTCCCCCAAGTCCTTTGTACCGCATTCCCAACCACCACAGCCACTCTTTGTAGCCGGTCTTACCCGTTTCTGGTTTATCCTCATCTTTTATTTTGCAAAAATGAATAGACATGTGTATATTTTCCCCTTGTTCCCTACCTAAAATATCCACACTATGGGTGCTATTTTTCTTTTCACCTAACAAAATGCATTGGAAATTTCTCTGTCTCATCAGTTGAAGGGAGAAGGGATTCCAACACACTTTTAGTTGGCATTTATCTGTGAATGAGTTTAAATATCTTTTCGTATGTCTAAGGTTTATATGTGTCTTTTGCCTTTTTATTTAGTGCATACCTTTTTAAGACTTTTTATCAATTACATCTTCCTCTCATCTGCCAGGCAGATGCTAGAGGTTATACATTTGCTTAACATGTATTCTTTCCCTTCACTTTTTCATAATGGAATTGCATTGTGACTGTGCTTTAGTTCTTGATGTACATGAATTCACTGTGAAACCTTTACCAGGCAGTATACTTAGGACTGGCATGCTTCCCGAGCTCTTTCTGAAGCTTCTCAGTCAATTTAACACTGAGATAAACTACTGGTGTCTTTCCTGCCTGGTGCCTGAGGGAACCTGGTTATTCCCAGGTCCTTCCTGGAATCGCTGTGACCTGCAGCCAGGGAGAAAGTGGCTCTCTGAAGAAGGTGCCTCCCCTGCTCTCCACCCTGCGGCCCACTTTGCCTGTCTCCAAACCCTCACCAAATATCAGCAGCCCTGGACCTTTCTTCTTACCGCCCTCCAACTGGGGACAGAGGTTCATCCAGTGAGCAGTGTGCCACTGCTGGGCATTGGTTTCCATCTGCAATCCTTCTCTGTGCCTTAGGAAGGAGTGGCCTTCATTTCCCTGGGTAGGAGGGGAAGTAGGTGAGATCGAATGGGTAACTGTGACAGCCTACTGAGAGGAAGTCAGGAAGACCCGGATATTTCTACCATTGTCTGTGCTCCACTGTTCCTGGCAAAGCTGTAATTAGGCGAGGCGCTGTGTCTCCACCCCAGCGCCCCTGATGTGGGAGATCTGGTCCTCCACACAGAACTGCTGTGGGGCACGGAAGGAGGAACCTGTCTACTCGCTGCATCTCCCAGGACTGTCGGAAGGTTGGGGGGCTCGGCATAAGGAGCACCCGGCAATCTGGGGTACCCGTGAGCAGATGAGCCGGAAGGAGGCAGGGTGGGCCAGGTGCCCAGTGTAGCTGTCAGGACGGGAGGCTCAACAGAGTTGGTGGAGTCAAAGATAAAGTTCCATCTTCGCTCTCCTACAGCACAGCCAGATGCCGCGGGCTATTTCAAGGACTTTCCAAGAATGGCACTGATGCGAATCACGATCTCCCAAGGGAAGCAAGAGAGGAATCAGAGCTTCTGCTCCTCAAGTAGCACAGACACCTTGACACGCGCCAGGTTCCCAGCTGCTGCACAGCATGATGAAGTCACAGTGAGCGTGCATACTCACCTTGCACCCACACGTCCACGCTTTGAGAAGTGTTGGAGAGTCCCAGACCAGGGTCCCATGCACAGCGCAGGCCAGCCTGGCTCACAGGGCGTCAGCCCGGCCCCAGGCTCCCAGGGTAAACTGTATTTCCCACACCTGCGCCGTGCAGGTCCTCAGCACAAGCCCGCGGGTGCCGAGGGGCTCCCTGGTGATCTCCAGGCACCGCCGTGTGTCTCTGTTGATGACAGATCCTCCCTGGGTGAGAGGAGAAACAGAGTCAAGGTGCCAGAATGTCCCCTGGAGCTGCTCCCCACTGTGCTCCCTGACTGCCTCTCATTGTGGGGGCTTCACCAACACTCAATGCAGTGCTAGAGTCAGGACTGAATCCTCACTCCCCGCTTACAAGCCTTGGGCAGGTTTCCTAACCTCACCAAGCCTCAGTTTCCTCATCCATAAAATGGGCTCAGAGCTAACACTGAAGTGGAAACTTGCTGTGCAAGGCCCTGGCTTTAATACCCAGTGTCTCTAAAAAAGGAGAGGAAGGCAAGGTGAAATCAGGGTCAATGCTGTTTGGGAATCTGTGGCTGACAATGGAGAGAGGTACAGGAAATCTGCACTGGACTCCACAGCTACCCCTGCTCCTGGGGAGGGAGGGGCTTCCTTGTCTGTTGCCCTCTGAAGCCCCGACCCCTTCCTGTACCTGCAGCACAGGAATCCTGCAACTGTCCAAGCCACCTCCTGGCTGGGCCTCTGCTCCTAGCAGCTGTCTGTGCTGCTCAGGATGTTGCTTAGTGGGGGGCCAAGGTTTCCCCCTTACCTGCCCACCCTCTGCTGCCAGCACCCATGTGGTCTCCTAGTTTGCTATGTGCAACTGCCGAAGCTCTGAGCACCAGGCAGGGCACCCTGAGACCTCCATGTCTCCGGCTTCCCCCACCCATCACCTCCCTGCCTGTCATCTCTGCCGACTGCAAAGTGACCCCCACAAATTCAGCTGCCCTGGACTCCCCTGCCCACCCCTGCCACCTTGAGGCATCTCTCCTGGTCCTGGGGCATTTCCTCTGCCACTCCACAGCTCCCTTCTCTTGCCCCTGCTTCCAACTGCAGCAGTCCTGGCAGGGTCCCCCGCTGAAGCCCATGCAGCCTGGCCATGGCACTGGGCTGCTGCCCTTCCAGGCCTCCAGAGTGCGCTTGGGCCCATCCCCACCCTCAGCATGCTCACTGCACGTCAGCAAAGTCACATTTCTGCCCCAGTGCTTTCTCCTAGAGGACACCAGCCACACACACCTGCAGCCTTGGAGCTGAGCAACCTCCAGGAAATCCTCCTGCAGAGGCCCCAGTGCTCCCAGCCTCACCCTGGATGTGGAGAACCTCTCTGCCTCACATCCTCTCTCTTTACAGTCTTTTTCTATGGCCTTTAAATATATCCAGATGTCATAATATTACAAGGAGAAGAAAGAACACGAAGCTTAATTCTCTATCCTTTTCAACTGTCATTCAGTTCCCCCACTAATCAAAATCAGATTCTCAAGCCACAAGCCAATAACCACAGAGGATAACATTTTGTCCTTCAGTTCTGGACAATTGCAAGGCTGTGTGACTTTGGGAAAATTATTTGGCTTCTCCTTACCTTAGTTTCTGTATGGGAAAAACAGCACTGATGGTTCATCTGATACTTGTCATATGTTTCTAACTCTTGGCTATTGGAATTTATTGTAATTTGTTAGAAAAAAAAATGACGGCGTATCATCTATTCTTTGTCTCTCAATTTCCATTTGCCAGTAATCCTTAACTTTGGCTGGTACATGCTTAGTTCTTTTAACTTGGAAAACATATTTTAAGCAATTAGCAACACTCATAAGGGGATAATATTGTGCATATGGTTTTTGTAGCCTGCTTTTTAAACCCACCTTTATATTATGCATCTTTCACGTTTCATTTTCAAAATACATTTTTGGAATATCATTTGAATGGCTATGTAATATTCAGTAAGCAAAAATCTCCAGTACTATTGGACATTTTGCTCTTTCCCAGTGTTTGCAATGGTGATAATAAGGTTGGGCTACTTGCTGAACTACTTTTTCAGTTAAGATATTGTCCTAGGAGAGAACTGGTACCTTTAAAGGGGTCATAATTAGGGGTTTTGCTAGCATCAGAGCAAATGGCTCCTGGACCTGCTCTCCTTCCCCACCCAAAAGTGTTCTTGGGGGCAATTTTAACACCTGACCACTGAGAGCCCCAGAGCCCCTCCATACTCCAACTTGCCCTACTCCAGCTGTGTCACCAGGCCCCATTCCAGGCTCTCCTCTTGAAGCTCACATGTCCCAGGGCATCTCATCCCTCAGAACTGGGTCCCGGTCACTGGCACTGCTTCCTTACACTCCCAGGGGTCCCAATCCTCCTGTGGCCAATCAAATCACAGAATCCAGAGGCAGGAAGTAAAATGGATCCATGAGCCTGTCTTGGTTACTTTTCTCATTGCCAAGACAAAATACACAACACCCAAACTTAAAGGAGAAGAGGTTTATTGTAGCTCAGTTTGTAGGGGTTTCAGTTCATCGGCATCAAGGCAGTGGGCATGGCAGGGGGCATCACAGAGGAGAAGCAGTTCATGGTGGGAAGAAGGCAGCAAAGTACTGAAGAAGCAGCAAATGATGACAGGAGCCCTCTTTCTGTCTCTTATTTTCTATCCAGGCTACCAGCCCTTCGGGTGGGTAGCAGTCACACCCAAGGTGGGCCTTCCCATCATCCACATCCAGAATTATGCCAATCAGTGACTTAGTAATCACACAGCCTTAATCCCAGCATCACACATCCTATCATGCCATGTCTGAAAAGCCCCACTTATGACCACATGAGGCTTTGGGGGACACAATCATAACATAGCCTCATCTCTCTCTTAATTTGGGGAAATGCCTTAAATAACTTGTAGTAGAATGAACTTGTAAGTTGTGCCTAAAAGTAAATTGAACACAAGGGGGACCCAATGTTCATCCAAAGTCATGTTCACGTGTAAAAATATGTGACATAAGACAGGCAGGAAAGGATTACACCAGAAAATTGACTCAAGACAAATTTAAAAATCAAGCAATACACCAAGAACTACCTGATCACCTCCCTCATTAACTTCCAATGTTCTTGAGATAATGTCCATGAAAAGGGGCCTGCCTGGACTGTGGAGTGGCAGGAAGAATGTTCCTTGTGTCCTGGAGTCCAGGTCTCACACTCAGCCACAGTCACTATTCTGTCATCAGCTTTGGGCAGCTGAGAAGGCAATCTCCAAAAATCCCCAGAAAGAAAACCTTCCCAATATTTGGGATGCATGAATCTTTAGGATAAGTAGCATCTTAAATTCCCAAGAGATTTAAAATAAAATTAAATGTGAAGGGAACGAAACTTATAATATTTGTTAAAGATTCTAAGTCCATTTACCATTTTTGAGCCATTGTGTTTAAGAAACTTTGGCATCTTACAGGTTAGCCCTATTATTTTTTTAAATGTGTAATTTGATAATTACATGTACGATTTCACATTGAGGCTTTATTTTGTAAACACATTTGAAACATTTAAGAGATTTAAAAATCTTTAAATCAGTAGCTTTAAAGTTAGAATTTTGAAGTTCTTCAGAAAGGAAAGATAATGTATTAAATTTGTATCTATATGGCCCTTTAAAGCCTCATGCACTCATAGGTGGGGCTTTTGCAAGAGCATGGATATGTGATGCTAGATTGGGGTGTGTGATATTGGCATTAAGACTTTGTGATAATTAAATTAGTCTGCTGATTGGTTTAGTATAGTTCTGGGTATGGAAAATGGGAAGGCCCACCCCCAGTATAGATGTCACCATCCAATAGACTTGCAGGATGGATCAGATAAAAGAGAAAGGAAGGCTGAATGCTGCCGCTTCACTACCATCTGCCTACCCTGCCATGGACTGTTTCTACTCTGCCATGCCACTCTGCCTTGGAGCCAGCCAACTCTAGACTGAAACCTCTACAGACAGTGAGATAAAATAAACCTTTCCTCTTTTAACTTCTGGGTACTGTGTATTTCATCTTAGCAATGAGAAAATTAACTAAGGCCATGGTTGAGGAAATTTTATTTATTAAATTGCAAAACTCTCTTAAAAAGTTAAAACTTGCCTGGCTTATAGATAAAGTAGTTAGGTTTTTACAGATGTCAAAAAGTCCCATTTAGTCTACCAGGCCTACCACATGCTCCATATGCCCTGGTGGAGAACGCACCACCATGGCAGGACACCAATTCTTTTCCAGAGCAACTCAAGCTGTTGGAAATCCCCTCTTTGCTCCTGTGTTAAGTGAGGCCCAGCCTCATTCATTGCTGGCCGCTGGTCTCAAGCCAGCCTTCCTGTGACTCCTGCTCCAGGTTTGATCTGGTTGTCCACAAAGTCCCTGTAGTAACCTGTCTCTGCTTGGCACGCTATGGCTGGTGAGGGGAACACTTAAGAGGAAGGTCTGGTTGTGAATCTTGCAGTCTTGGGGGCCATGACACCATAGTACCTTCCCTGGTGCATGATGTAAGTGGGTTTTGCTTTACCCAGGTACTCACCATGTTGTGCTGCCTCACCATGGCCCAAAACAGTGGGACCAACCAATCGGGGCTTAGAACCTGTAAAACTGTGTGCTGAGGTGAACTCCTCTTAAACTGGTTATCTCAGGAGCTCAGCATCGTAACAGCACCCTGACTAACACAGCCCTCTTTGGTACGGAGACAGCAGCATCTTCTTCTACATTCACCTTTCCAAGTGAAAATTCCAGTACTCACTGCCACCTGCCATCTTCTGGATGTCGTGCCAGATGCTGAGCATAAAACTGAGTCCCAGGCCCTGCCCTCCAACTCACAGCCAGCGAAGTGATGGATAAGAGGACAAACAGAAGCAGAGAAGCAGAGCCTGGAGAGCACACAGGGTACCCTATCCCCCACAGGCCCATGCCCTGTTAGTCCTGTTAAGGAAGTGGGAGGAGAGGAATGACCCCAGCAGGTGACTCACCTGCTTGAAATCCCAGAGTATGTGCAGTTTACTCTGAGCCGCCTTGGAACATGGCTCTAACGTGGGCTTCTCCCCATGGCCAGGGTCCGTTAGGCAGTGCTGGGAGTCATAATTCTCTGCAACCAGTGGCCCTACATAGAGCTCCCCGACCAGGCGGTAGTAGACATTCTGAAAGGGAGTGAGGGATCTGTCCGAGGGAAAGGCCAGCTGCAGGTAAGAAGCTGGAAACCCGAGCAGAGGGCTTGCAGCCAGGAAACCTCTCTTCACATTCCTGAGTAGACACTGCCTGCTTGATGTGCATGCACAGAGGCTGTTTTGTGCCTCAGTTTCTCTGGCTCTTAAGCAGGAAGGACATCTATCACGCACACCTCAGAAGGGACCCATGAAGGCAACGTGCAGAGGAAGACAACAGATGTGACTGTTCTCCCAGCTGCACCGCACACTTGAAGCCAGAGCCCTCTATCCTGTGAGGGGCTTTGAGCCTCTCTTCTCCAGCCCTCTGCTTTCAGCTCTGCAAGAGAAGTGCAGGCAGCTTCCTCTGCACACTTTCCAGGGTGCACAGGAGCAGGAGGGGGAAAGGCATGGGCTGAGGTGACCACTAATGAAATCCTACCAGGAGGGAAGGGAACAAACATCCCTGTCCCAGGATCTTGACTTTCTCTGTCTTTCTGAAAGAACCAGGAAGTGCTTCCTTGTAAAGATTTCTCCCTCACCTGTTAGCCAGGATGATCAGCCCCTGCCTCCCTGTTCACCAACACTGCATCTAAATCTGGCAGACTTGGCCAAGCCCTGGGCCTAAGCAGCCTGGGCCTTGGGTGGGGAGGGCTGGAGGTACCTGCGGGCTGAACTCGTGGCATGTGTACATGATGGGGGTATTGCCGGGCACAGGTCCACGGTCCAGGCAGACGCCTCTGTCCAAAGAGTTTTTCATCTGAAGGGGGAAAGCACATCAACACAGTTGGCAAGAAGCAGAGAAAGAGGGTACCAACCCACCCCAGGCCCTGCATTTTCCTTGTACAACAAAGGTACAAAACCCACTATCTAGTCAGGCAGGCATGGAAGCACACAACTATAATCCCAGCACTTGGGAGGCTGAAGCAAAAAGGTAGCAAGTTCCAGCCCAGCCTGGATGATTTATTGAGACCTTTTCTTAAAAGGAAGAATATCAAAAGAGGGTTGGAGGGCCAGAGATTTAGCTCTGTGCTTCTGCTGCCTGCCTCACAAATGCAAGGACCTGAGTTTGATCCCGGTACCAAAAGGGGGGTTGGTGGTTGGAGATGTAGGTCAAGGTAAAGGCCCTGGCCTAAATCCCAAGTACTGCAAAAAAAGAAAGAAAGAAAGAAAAGAAGGGAGGGAAGGGAGGAAAGCAGGAAGAGGAAAAAAAAAAAGAAAAGAGAAAAATAGAAGGAAAGAAAAGAAAGCACCAGCCAGATGGAGTGGAGTTGGGCTCCTGGCAGCATTTGCTGAGACTGGGCACAGGTAAAGGCTCAGGGTGCTGCTGAGATGTGGCTTCCAGTGCACAGTACCCCAGCGGACAGGGAGGGGTGACCCGGTTTAGGCGCCTGGCTGAGAGACCGAGGGGGGGGGAGCGGGACAGAGAGGAGGAGGTGGAGCAGGAGTGGGGAGCAAGAGAGGAAAGGCCAGGCCGGAGCAGGTGGGAAGGGCATCCTGGGCGGGGTGGGTTTGGGCTGGGGCGTCACGAAATTTGGATTTCACTGTCTTCGACAACAAAACTTTCAAAATCTAAAAGAGCATCTTCACAGTACGCACTCTTCCATAGCCCACGACGTCATGGATCGGCTTCAGGACTGGATAAACATTTTTCAGGTACCAGTCAAAGGTTTTACATTTCAGTTTCTCCCGGAGTGCTCTTCTGGAAGAGATGTCTCCATAATCAATCCCAGAGCTCTGAAGAAGACAATGGAAAAGCAATGTGCATTTCTGTGCTTCGTCCCAGGTTCCTCGCTGGACTCCACCGCAGGTGCAGGCTCCAGTGAGGGAACTGAGGGTTTTCCTGGTGGCGGGGGAGTACCCTTCAAGCTTTATATTTCCAGGGAAAATGGAAAAGCCATGAAGCCTAGGACCTCCGCTGGTTCCACGGACATTTGCAAAGCCTGCGAGTGGAGGTCCACTCAGGCATCTTTCTCAGCATGGATTCCTCCTTTTTGGGATGATCTTTGCTTCAACAAGGCACAGAGTATTCCTCATAATGGCCTAAAAGGCTTTAAAAGGAATTCTAGCACCCAGATCTGGAGGTTAGAGGGATTCCCTAGGAGTAATACTTGTGGGTAATCCAAGTGCAGAGGGAAGAAAGAGACAAATCAAGTGGGTGTCTGCCCTCCTCCAGGCACATTCTTTTGACATTCATTCCAGATCGCCCCTTAGAGACTGTCCCTGTCTTAGGGACAGTTCCCCCTGCAGTTTGGTACAGACACAAATATGACTCTGTGCAGGAAAGAAAAGGAGAGTACAGATTTTCCCATCATACTTGGCATACTGGGCACCAGATGAAATTCTTCCCCATGTTTTCAAACAATGAGCTAACTGTAGATTGTCAGCACTTTGATAAAGGGAGGGTTTGTATTTCTTCTGGGTTTTTTTGTTGTGTTTTTTTTTTCTTTGGTTTGGTTGGTTTGTGTGGTACTGGGCATTGAACCCAGGGTCTTTGTACTGAGCTAAATTCCCAGCCCTTTTTTCATTTTTTGAGACAGGGTCTCAGTCACAGAATTGCCCAGTCTGTGCTGGAACTTTTGATCCTCCTGCCTCAGCCTCTCCGAGGGCTGGGATTGCAGATACGTGTCACCATCTCTGACCAAAGGGAGGGCTTTGATGACCCTGAATTCTGAGGAAGTCTCAGGCATTTCTGTACACATTTACCTTCTCCATCCCAGTGTGCTCTGTGTTTAACCTGGCTCCTGACTCAATCCTGTTTCTAGACTTTCCTTTCTAGACCTGTTCTGCACTCTCCCACCACCATGATTCCCTTGCTTCCTGGAAGTTACTTTTCAGATCAAGAGTGGCAGAAGGGGAGAGTTTGCCAATGACATTATTGTTCTCTATATGCTGAACGTGCTTGACTCCAGCTGGAGCCAGGGACATGGGGTCAGCATATCATACTGAGGTCAGGCGACCAGAGCAGCAGGTGTGGGCCTCATTCGAGTACCTCCAGTGGAATCTCAGTACCTCCCACACACACCAGACACACCACCATACCTGAATCCTCTTGAGACATGGAATACCTGATGTCCAACTGTCCCCGCAAACAATCCCCAGTGTGGGAGAAGGCTGACACATTTCCTTGGTTTTAGTGTCATCTCTGCTACTTACCACCTGCACCTGTGCTACCTTCAGCTAAATCTTTCTCTCTGCCTTGGCTTGCTTGTCTGTGAAACACACCTACGGCTAAATCCTGTGGTTCAAGAGCGAGTTTATACAATATTGTCTGGGCTTCCAGAGGATGGTGGAACAGGGAGCAGGAGAGAAATAGTCCCTCCAGGACTTGGAGTTCAGATGCTGGAACACAGCAAAATGAGCAAAAGAAGATACTTCCATGATGAAGAACACCTGAAGAATGCATGACCACCAAGCCAGAAGTCCAAAATGTTCTGAAAGACATTCTACAATGAGATAACGCAGACTACAACTCCAAGAACCCCAACAGAATGAGTCCAACAGGCAAGGCAGACAATTAAATGGAAGAGAAAGAGAGAATGAACAACAGGAAATGAATGCAATGACAAGAAAAGTCAATTACAGCCATCTATGTAAATGGTCTCAATTCACTAATCAAAAGAAACAGACTGGCAGAATGGATCAAGAAACAAGGCCCAATAATATGCTACATACAAGAAACACATTTAACTCCAAAAAATTCACAGACTGAATTGTTCAAGAATAAAGAACAATATTCAATGCAATAAGAACCCAGGGAAAAGCAGAGATAGCTATTCCATTTGCAGACAAATTGGATTTCAGGCCAAGACTGGTCAGAAGAGACTAAGAAGGCCATGACATACTTTATTATGGGAACAATCCAAGAGGAACAGATAACATTTGTAAAGATAATGTAAAGATAGATGCAGGAAATACAGGTCCATCTAACTACATAAAACAAACACTAATTGATGTGAAGAATCGGATAAGTAATAGCACAGTCGTAATGGGAGACCTTAACACTCCACTGTCACAAGTAGATCAACGAGACACAAAATCAACAAAGAAATATCAGAACTGAAGCCAACTTTTGAACAAACGGACTTGGTACATGTCTACAGAGTGTTCCACCCCACAACATCAGAATACACATTCTTCTCAGCTACACATGGGACATTCTCCAAAACAGATCACACACTAGCTCATAGAACATGCTTATGTAAATGCAAAGGAACTGAAATTATCCTGTGTGCATTATCAGATGATAATGAAATTGGAAATCAATGGCAAAAGAAACCACAAGAAATTCATAAATACATGGAAATTAAATAACATCCTCCTGAACAACCAATGTGTCATGGATGAAATTAAAGAAGAAAGTAGAGAGTTTCTATAATTAAATGATAATGCCAGTACAACATACCAGAATTTATGGGACACAACGAAAGAAATCATCTGAGGAAATTTTATGATATGAATTCTCATATCATAAAAACAGAGAGTGAGCTGAAATAAACAACCTAATGTTGAACCTCAAGGTTTTAGAAAAAGAACAGTAAATAAAACCCAGAGCCATATGAGGAAAGGTCAGAGAAGAAATTAATGTAATTAAGACAAAGAAAACCATACAAAGAATCAATGAATCAAAGAGTTGGTTCTTTGAAAGATTAAACAAAATTGACAAACCCATAGACAACCTTATCAAAAAAAGGAAAGAAAAGACTTAAATCCACACAGTCAGGAATAAAAAGAATTAGTCACAACCAATCCTGTGGAAGTCTAGAAGATCATCAATACCTATTTTGAGAACCTGTATTCTACTAAGATGGAAAACACATGAAAACTGGTTTCATTGCTGAATTCTACAAGAAATTTAAAGAAATAGTGCCACTACTGTTCAAACTCTGTAATGAAATTGGAAGGGAAGCAATACTCCCAAACCCATTTTTGGAAGCAAGCATTACCCTGATACTAAAAAATAGAAAAGGATCCAACCAAAAATGAGAGCTACAGGTTGATTTCTCTAACAAACACTGACACAAAAATCCTCAGCAAGATATTGGCAAACAGAATGCAGCAAATCACCAAGATTATACACGCTGACCAAGTAAGATTCATCCAGGGATGCAGGGAAGTTTCAACACACACAAATCAATAAATGTAATACACTACATTAACAGAGCCAAAGGACAAAAGCCATATGATCATCTCAAAAGAAGCAGAAAAAGCACTTGACAAAGTCCAACACCCATTCATTATTAAAACCCTAAGAAAATTGGAGCAGGCCTTTATCTCAATCTGATAAAAGCCATCTATGACAAAACCAACAGCCAACACATACTAAATGGACAAAAACTGAACACTTTCACTCTAAAATCAGGTCCACTATCACCACTCTTATTCGATGCCATTCTGGAAACATTAACCAGAGCAATTAGACAAGAGAAAGAACTAAAAGGAATAAGGATAGGAAAGGAAGAAGTTAAATTATCATTATTTGCAGATGATAGCATACTCTACTGAGAAGACCCTAAAAATTTCACCAAAGACTTTTAGAATTAATAACCAAATTCAGTAGCATAGCTGGATACAAAGTCAACACTCAAAAATCAATTCTATACACAAATAACAAACTCACTAAGAAAGGAATTAGGGAAAACACATCTTTTAAAATAGCATCCAAAATATGAAATACTTAAGAATCAATCTAGTGAAAAAAGTAAAAGACCTTTACATTGAAAACTAAGGTACTCTGAAAAAGAAGATCAAAGAGGGTATCAGAAAATGGAAAAATATCCCTTGTTCTTGGGTAGGAAGAATGAATATAGTGAAAATGATGATACTTCCAAAATCATTGTACAGATTTAATGCAATTCCAAATAAAATACTAATTTAATTAGAGAAAACAATTCTAAAATTCATTTGGAACTAGGAGAGACTTACAATAGCAAAAGCAACTCTGAGCAACAAAGCCAAGGCAGGGGGCCTCACAATGCCTGACTTGAAATTATACTACAAAACTACTGTGATAAAAACAGCATGGCACTAGCCAATAAAAAAAGATCAAAGGATCAATGAAAGAGATTAGAAGATGCAGAAACACCCAACCATGTTATCTTTGACAAAGGGGCCAAATACTTCACTGGCAGAAAGATAGCCTCTGTAATAAATGGTGTTGGAAAAACTAATTTTCCATATGCCAAAAATTAAAACTAGATTAATACCTCTCACCATGCAGTAAACTAAAATGGAAATGGATCAAAAATCTAAATAATAAAACAGAAGCACTAAATCTGCTGGAAGATAGAACTCTTGAAGACATTGTTGCAGGCAAAAACTTTATGAACAAAACCCCTGCCACACAGGAAATACCACAAAGAATTAACTGGGACCTCATCATATTAAAAAGCTTCTGCACAGCAAAAGAAGCCACCAATAGCATGAAGAGACATCCCATCATATAGGAAAAAAACTTTGTCAGCTGTTCCTCAGACAAAAAAAGGCCTAATATCTAGAATATATAAGAAATTCAAAAAAATCAGACCCCCAAATTTAAAGACTCAGTCCAAAAAGGGCATCTGAAATGGACAGGCACTTCTCAGATGAAGAAGTAAAAATGGCAAATAAAGATATAAAAAGCGTTAGACATCACCAGTCATTCAAGAGATGCAAATTAAAACAACACTGAGATTCCAGCTCACTCCAGAAAGAAGGGCTGCTATCAAGAAATCAATAACAAACGTCAGAGGAGCTGTGAGGGAAAAGGAACCCTGCTCCGCTGCTGCTGTGAGTGTAGACTGCTGCAACCACTGTGGGAATCAGTGTGGAGATTCCTCAAAAAACCAAAACCATATGTTCCATTTGACCCCGCTATTCCCCTTCTTGGTATCTTCATGAAAGAACAAAAAGCATCCTACCACAACGATATATGCACACCCATGTTTACAGCAGCACAGTTTGTAATAGCTAAATCTTAGAAACAGCCCAAATGCCTATCACAGATGAATCAAGAGGATGTGGATTTTTTTATACAATGGAGTATTGCTCTGTCATAAAGAAGGATAAATTTGAGGTGTTTCTAGGTAAAAGGATGCATCTTGAGAACATCCTTTTCAGTGAAATAAATTGAACATAATTGCATTGTCTCTCTGGTGTGAGAAACTGAAAGGGTAAAGAAGGGCCAAATGTATAATAGATATCATGGAATAGGACAAAAATATTCAAAGGGGAAGGTGAACTAGGGAGGGGGGAGAGGGAAAGGAAAAGGTATTTTTAAAAGAGAGAAAATGGAAGGAAGAATGGAAACAAAGCTTTTGTAAATAAGAGGGAGAAAAGCAGTTGAAGGGAGTGGAGGGGAACGGGAAAAAAGAAGAATCGAAACATATCCTACAGGTGCAGATTCCCTATGATGAATGTGATCATTATGTGTATCTAGGCTGTACCAATAAAATTACTATTAAAAGTCAATCAATAAATAAAGTGTCTGGAACATCGCATTGTTATGTAGATGCAGGGTGCCACTATGGCCGCACTCTCTGTATACAACCCAATGCTTTGGAACCAAGAGGATGAGTTTCTTCTGTCCCTTCCCATTCCCCACCACCCTCACCACCTGCTCCGTTCTCCATTCTCTTCTGCTCCTGTTCAGCCCATGACCAACCTGAAGCGGTAGGTTCCAGGCCAGGTAGACCATGTGTCTGTACTCATCCATCCAGATCTCAGCCACACGCAGGGCATTGCGCTTGAGGGCAGCACCCAGATCCAAGGCATAGGGTTTGTGGTGTCGCTCCACATGGGCCACACGGGAGCAGGGTAAGACCTCAATCTTCCCCCCACACTGCCACACCTGCAAGGGACAGGAGGAGTCACCTGCATGGGCTGCAGCTGCAGCTGGTGAACGGTGTGACCTCTTGACTGGAGGTGATCCTGAGTTATTTGAAGACTCATTTTTGTCTTTCCACTCCCACCCTCTAGTCTGCTCAACCATTGTCCTCAGCAGTCTGCCAAAGTGATTTTCTGCTGTCATCAAACAGCCATGGAAAGCCCACCTCCTTCAGGAAGTTCCCCTAAAAGGATCCAGAGGGGTGCTTCTGCTCCCTCAGCCTTAAGGGAAGAGTCCGGGTCCTGAGAGGCACTGTGTCCTGAGCGCCTCTCTCCAGACTTAGCTTCTCAAGAGCTTTCCTGGCTGCATATTAGAAACAGGGCCAGGAGGCAGACAGACTCAGGAGGCCTTCATGACACCCCCACCTGGTGTCCACACCCTTGCCTAATCCCCTTCCCTTGGCTGTGAGCCTATGACCTTCTTCTGACCAGTGGAACATGACCAAATTTACAGAATGGCTTGATCACCTGTCCGTGTTTATATCACACAAGATGGCAGTGTCCATCTGGCTGGGAGACACTGTCCTCGAGGGCCTTGAAGACGCCAGTCAGGACGTGGTGAGCTACTGTATGGGGAGGGCCACATGGCAAGAACCAAGAGTGGCTTCCAGCTGCTACATCAGAACACTGATTGCTCCGCTTCCTCAGTGTGGCAGACACGAACTAAGTGCTGTCCACAATTACACGATCCTTCTCCAGCCCAGCCTACGTGAGGACCCAGCCCAGTCTACACCTTGGCTCCAGCCTTGCCAAGGACCTAGCTAAGCTGCAGACCCCAGACCCACAGGAGCTCTAGGGCAAAGAATGCACCTTGCTTTGAGACATTCGGTTCATGATAATACTGTTACACAGCAACAGATACCAGTGTGAAAGCTGCCGTGACGTCTGACCCTATAAACGTTCTTCCTGAGCACTTCAGTGGGTGTGAACTTATTCATTAAAGCACGCTTGCACTCTCAGACTGCACTTGGCAGACAGTTTCACCCCTGTGGACAACAGAACCATCTAACTATGCCGGGTGGACATCACACATCTGTGTCCAGGTGAGTTGCAGTCCCTGCACTCGGGCCAGTGATGCCCTGAGGTAAGGGTGGGCAGCTGAGCTCTGCTGGCTTGGTCTAATACATCAAAAGAGTGTCCTCAGAGGAGTCAGGTCCACTGTGCAACTTTCACATTTTTTCATCCCTTTCCTCACTTATGAACTCATAGACTCCTCCACTTAGCATCCCACAACCCAGGCTTGGAAGGGAAGTCAGACTGATCTGTGTTCAAATCCTGACTGAACACCTGGCAGCTGGGGGCAAAACATTCACCCTTGCTTAAGCCTCAACTTGCTCATCTGCAGAGAGTCAGTGCCCACCTGTGGCTGACCGGAGGACCCGGAGGACTTAACGAGTATGGTGGGGGCTTCTGAGATTACCCTGGAGCACATCTCTTCTCCATTGTCTTCCTATTTCTCCTCACTCAGCCCTAAAATCGTGTGGAGATTACATTCAATTTGCTATTTCTGCAGCCATGCAAATAGAATTCCAAATAAAATTTTACTTCAATTTCCCTAGATGATGAAAGTTTCCATTCATAGAAATTTAGGGGAGAAAAATCACCTTTTGGCACAAGAAACCCTAAATGCAAATCCTGGACACAGACAACCCCACGTCATGCTCTGGCCCAGGGTAAGTGTGTCACAGTTCCAGCTTTTCTCTCCTCCCTGTGATCTCCGCTCACTCACATCTGTGGACACTGGTGCTGCCCTGGCCACCCGATGTCAGGAGAAAACACCCCATGCAACTCTGCTGTTCTCCGAGACTTGTTACTGGAGAAAGGCAGAATCTGATGAAGGAAAACCGCCCAGAATCATCAGCCATGAGCGGCTTCTCCTCCGCCATCCCCTCTCCTGCTGTCCCTCCTCCGAGCCATCCAGCCACGGACTAACCCATGAGGGAAAGTAAGCCTCTTCTCTGTTGAGTAGTGGCTGTTGGCTGTTGTGTGCCAGAGACTCAGACATTGGCGAAGGAATATCTGCAAGAAATCTATTCTAAATTGATGGTGATGTGTGGGATTTATCGCTCTAATGCTTCAGGCCCCTTTGAGCTGGGCCATTTGGCCTATTTTGAAACAGCATGCTCCCCCCAGGTGTCAGGAGGCTCCACATGGCTCCCATTGGCCTCTGCTGGACCACCAAAAGAACTCTCTTTCCCTAGATGACTGCTGTCCCATCAGACTGAGCCCCAGATTAAACATACCTGGAAAAGAGCACCCCATCCAAGCTGGCCAGACTGTCAACTCCATGAGAATCAATTAGTATTGCTCTAAACCAGCAACACTGGGGCGGTTGTTATACAGATTGCCTTTCTTTCTTTCCTTTGTAATGGCTAACGAACCTGCACTCGGATTTCTCTAGTTTTCACCACAAATTCCCTTGTAGAGCACAAAATTTCAGATTGTGCATTTGACCTAAACAAGCCAGAGAAGCTGCCAGAGGCAGGCAGGAGGCCTCACTGTTTACATGCAAAGCCAGGATTAGCCCAGAAGCATGAAATCTGAGGATTTTTATGCTGCATCCATCCCCAGAGTTTTCTCCTGCCTGCATCTCAGCAGACTAGTGCTGCCTCGACCACTGCTCTGCCAGTCTGCACACACAGGCTGGCTGCTTACATAGCTGTGTTCCTTCATCCCTCTCCCCACTCCACTTTTTCAGGCTTTAGAAATTACAGGGAGCTGTTTTCCTCTAAGGTTGGTTTATTCTAGGAGATGCCTGGAAAATGTTCGGCATCCTCAGGGGAAAGTGGGGCAACATCTGCTTGGCCTCAACTCTACCCTTGCCAGCCACCCCTCCCACATGATGTAGTCCTACCTTGGAAAGCTGCACTTGGAAAGCTCCAGGAATCCCACTGCCAGCTCCTCCGAAGCCCGGTGATCCAGACAAAGGAGAATGCAGCCTCTTCTTGAGCCAATGATAGTCATCCTTTTCTAGGATTCTAGAGATCCTATGATCTTCCTGCCTTGGTTTGGATCTTAAATGTCCCCCAGAGCCACATGGTGAAGGCTGGGCTTTAGTCTATGGTATAATATGTGGTGAGACCTTTAAGAAGTGGATCTGAGTAGGAAGAAGTTAGACCACATGGGCATGCTGGTGAAGGCAGGTGCCATGACTGCACAGTTCTTCCACTATGTGCCCCCTGCTGTGATGTTTTGCGTCACTACATGCCCAAAGGCAACAGGGCCAAGCAACCATGGACTAAACCCTCTGAAACTATGAGCCAACACAAACTGCTTCTTTTAGGTTGTCTCAGGTATTTTGTTACAAGGACAGATAATCAACACACTCCCCTTCTGCTCTGGCCCATGAACAGCAGGGAAATACACCTACCCTCAAACTAAGCTCCACATTCTCTCCTCCGTAGACCAGCATCCCGTCATCCAGTCCACCAATCTCCCCCAGGAAGAGCCTGTTGGCGGCCAGGATGCCCATGATGGAAGGGCTTCTGTAAAGCACACGGAAAGATGGTCACCAACCCCTCTGTGAGGAACAGGTCAGGGTGAGGCGAGGGCTGGGAAGTCGAGGGACAGCTTGGCCTCTGGGACTCCATCTATACCTCTCCTTAAACCCACAGGCAGGGCTAAGTATGGTAGCTTCCTCCTGCCCACCGTGCTGTCATAACCTTCTCAAAGTATCTTAGAGTTGCATCTTCATCTCAGTATCCCAATTTCATAGCCTGATAACACTTTAAATGGCTCAAGTGTCTCCTCAAATAGTAAGTACTTTTTTTTTTTTTTTTTTTTTTTTT